AAAAAGTGATACGTGAAATAAATTATTATGAATACATCTAGATCCTCGTACAAGAAAATGTGAACTTGAAGTTCAAGTGATAATTCATTTCTAAAATATTTCCAAGCACATTGCTGACCCAAAGTTAAATATCATATTCCAGCTGCTAATGCTCCAAATAGAATAACGTCCATGATGGATAGAGTTTATGGCACGCATGAAGCGTAATAGACAAATCGGTTCCGAAGATAAAACTCTTTGAAGAAGGAGGGAGCAAATGTTCAAGATGGTCATAATAAGGAGGCAAGTGCTTTATAAGAGCACCATGACATAACACTTTATAAGACCTCATGGGAGAGGCTCAGGTACTTGAAAATAATGAGATCTCGATAAGTTATGTCTTTATTGTGTGACGATGGAACCGATGTAAAACGATCGTCGACGATGTTGTTAATATAATGTAGCGCTCAATATTATTAATATTGACGAGGATCTTGAGCTCAAATCTGTCATGGAATTTGGACAGATAAATGATTGGCCAAATGAAAAATATGCAATGAAAATTGACTTCATCTGAAAAATATGAAGTTTGGACGAATAGTCCCGACAGCTGAGAGTATAAATGCTATATGGAGATATTGAAATATGATTAGTATTATATTGCAAAAAGAATCCTTGATATAGATTTGTTTATTCTAACAAATATTGTCAAGGTTTTGTTGTTTATGCAAATGCAGGCATTTATTGAAGTCCGTTCTTCAAACAATCTATTTGTATGTGAGGAATTGTCATATTATCATTTCACAAGATGTGTGACTTTTCTTTGAAGAGAAGATTCCACTAATAATGAAGAAGCTGATGTTTGCTTATCTCAATTGAAAGAAGAATATTGAAGGAGACTGAATAAATCATATATTTCATCAAAGTTCTTTGTCAGACACGATCTTCAACAGAATGATGAAATAGATGTTCAAGAAATTCGTTCAAGTGATAATTTGGCGGAATAATTCACCAAGGCATTGCCGATCTCAATATTAGAGAAGTTGTTAGACAAGCTTGGAATTCGTCGTGATATTTTCATCAGGGGGAGACAAATATGTGCTGTACTCTTTCTCCCTTAGCTAAGGTTTTATCCCACTGGGTTTTCCTGGCAAGGTTTTTAACGAGGCAGCAAATAAAGCGTATTACAGATATGTGTACTCTTTTTCCTTCAATAGGATTTTTTTCCCATAGGGTTTTTTCCTAGTAAGGTTTTAACGAGGCACATTATCTTTGGACATCCAAGGGGGAGTGTTATGAAATACTTGATTATGCGGGATGTCCATAACTCCTAAGGGAGTAACACCCACTACTCTTCTCCATTAACCTCCCACTACTTCTTGTCATTATGGATGTAACTCCCACACCTCCACGATCTTCCCCCATGTTCTCAATAGTTAATATCATGTTTATGGAGTCCCTTTGTATTACCTATATCATCCTATAAATAGAGGGTTTGGGCATCACATTGTATACACTTGAATACATAGAAGAAATAAGATTCTCTCCTCTCTTCCTCTCTACATTGTTGTCTATTTTATTATTTTATATTGTTATTTTGAGCTAGTTTCGTAACACACGCATTATTGTATTGCATTATAAGTAAATTATTTCACCTTCTCTGAGAACAATACTAGAGCCTGCGTAAATAAAAGGGGTTTTGACACAGTTACCCACAAAAACAAAACTATTTACCCTTGTCTATCTATTTGTTTTTCTACCCATAACTAATTACATTTCCTACCCATAATAGTTTTTGTAGAGAATTTTTTCTTTATTCTCTAATTCTTTTTTTTTTCCTATGCTTCTTTACTTCTTTTTTTTTTCTTTTCTCCTTTTCTTTTTTCCCGTTCTCTTCTTATTTTTTTCTTTTTTCCTTTTCTAATCTCGTTTAACTTCTTTTTTTATATTCTTTTTCTCTTCATAATCTAATTTCATTTACCGTTTTTACTATTTTTTATTATTCTTTTTTTATACAATAAGAAAACATAATTGATATAGTAAATATGTGTTCACCTTTTTATTAATATAACTAATACAATATAACTTTTTTTTCCTCTCATTTTTTAAATTCAATTATTAAACTGAAATAATATCAGTTGTCACTTGATCTAATTCACTGAATATCACATTGACTGCTGTTGAGCACCATAAATTACATAATCAGATTCTAAGAATCAACACGTGATTGCCATGCAAACCTTGATCTCCTTCCCTATAAATATCAGTATACACTCTACCATTAGCAGTAATACAACCAGTTATAGAGCAAGAAAACATAATCTACGGCAATCAAATCTCTATATATACTAGTTAGAATAAAAATGATAATAAAATATTAAAAATACAACAAAAGTATAAGTAGCAAAAAAGACTTCTAGTACCATGTGATACCAATATGGTATATATATCAACAGAGCATATGATTTCTCTAGAACATTGCTACAACTATCTGCGACTATACTACTGTACCAAAACATTAAAGGACGCAATAAAAGTATGAGAAAATTACATGCTCGTATTGCAAGCTAAATATTCGCAAAACAACTTGCTCATTTCGTATACTAAGAGGGTATATAGTTGTAGGGGGTCGTTCTAACAATTGCCTATAACTATAAAAACTATTACATAATACACATAATTTATGTCCATCGGCACACAAAAATTCCAGCATTGCAACTCATGTTGATATAAATAATTTCATAATAGAATTCACTTAAAATGCAGCTAAAACAACCAAAACAATGTTCAAACTACCATATGATACCAATATGGCATATAACTATACCAACATGGTATACAGTTTTACTAGTTAATTCCCGGCAGCTATATGACTATACTACAATTACATAACACACATGCATAAAGAGAAAAATAAAAAAAATAGTGTACCACATATTAATATAATAAAGTATTTCAAGATATTGTACTATACTACTATTATTAAAAGAAAATCAAATATTGTACCAATTAAATGCAGCTAAAACAACCAAAAAATGATTCAACTAGCATATGATACCAATATAGTATATAGCTATACTAATAGGGTATATAGTTGGAATGAATTGCATACTAAAATGGTATATTTGTATACTATTTGGGTATACAATACAAATTCGTCTTCTTCTCTGGTTCAATTATATTTCAACCCAAATTTCTAAAATTTACTACAAAATCTCCACCAAATTGACTAAAACTTTAGCTACAACCTCCAATCAACTTTCCAAACTAACCCATACAGGATCGGACAATTAAAACTCAAACAAACAAAGTTATGAGTTTCAAGCTTCAAGGTCCTTCAATGGTGGATTTAAATTTTTGTACAATAAATCTCCAAAAACCAGCATCAAAGGTACAATCTCACATCAAAGAACAATAACTAACCAATTTCAACAGTAGAACACTATAAAAAATCAGATCTGGCATTTTGAACTCAATCATATGGAGTTTCAAAAATTGATATGTTCTTCCTATGATCTACCGTTTGGTTCCTCGAACACACAAAACACAGTTAGACAAATACTATCATTTGGGGGTTTTCGAACTATTTAGTGAGAAATTCCAGATAGGTGATATTACCATCAGTAGATATTACTATATTAGAAAAAAATGCAGAAGCGAGACTGTAGTTTCAGTGATTCAACCTCAATTCGAGAAAGCAGTCATGAGGAGAGAATGTTGTCATTTCATTTAGTTACATAAAAATTTCAAAAGGGTGAAGGAGACAAGAATATGCTCGATTGTGTTTTCTTTTCTTTTCATTTTTTGAAATGGTAAAAAGTTTATGCTCGATTGCTTTTAGAAAAGTTGCCATTCAAATCTCAAGAAGGTTATAGATGTCTACTGGAAGAGTTTATACTAAGTTAATAATCGGGTAAATAGTTTGGGGCACATGGGTAGGAGTAGTAAATAGTTTGGGCCTGGACATTAAAGGATAAATAATTTGAATTGATAAGTATAAAGTGAGATTTTCCCTAAATGAAATTATTATAAATTTGTAAATTTCGAAATCCCTTTACCACATTGGCAAAGCGATAAAGATAACTAAAAAGATCAACTTAAAAAGTCTTGCAAACAAAATAACATTGTATAAATAATCCCTAAATCTTAAAAAAGCCACATAAAAGAACTGCAGTAATATTTGAAGAATGATTTTTATAATAATAAGAATTTTTTTTTTTTAAAAAAATGTCTTAATTCCAAATCAATAAGACAATAAGAAAACATTTTTCAGAAAATGTTTAATTCCAATATATCGTCGATCAAATTTAGGTTGAGTGTCCAAAACAAATTTTAAGTGTAATCAATCACTTAGAGAAATTAAGTACAAACAAACACTTTAGAGTAGATATGAAAAAAAGAAGTAAAAATAGTGCGGTATAGCCAGTTTTCGGATTGGTCAATCAAAAATAGCCAGCGTTTACCAAGTCAATGAAAAATAGTCACTATTTTGCTGCAATAGAGACCGGTCCAGCATAATATACTGGAGTTCGGTGCACTTGTGTATGAACTCCAGCATATTATGCTGGACCGGTATACTTTGCTGGCTCCAGTATAATATACTGAAGACTGGAGCACCGGTGCTCCAAACTCCAGTATATTATACTGGACCAATATACTTGCTGGAACTCCAGTATATTATGCTGGAGTTCTAGTGTACTTATGCTGGAACTCCATCATATTATGCTGGAGTTCCAGCATACTTATTCTGGAACTCCAGCATAATATACTGGAGTATTTTCCGGGTTTTGAACAGTGTTTTCGCTCAGATTTATCTTTATATAAAAAGTGGCTAAATTTCGATTACTTTTGAAATTATGCTATTTTTGAACGACCAATTGTAAATCTGGCTATTTTTAAAATTTACCCACAAAAGAAAGAATCAGGGTCTGACTTTCAATATCACTTCCCTGATTTCCCCACTATATAATTTTTTTAGAGAGTATATAACAAAAGAAAGAGTTGAAACAGGCATAAGAAAATATATGAAGGTAAAACACTTTTAACATTATGGCCTCTGTGATTGTATATACATACATAACTATATTTTTAGCAATGGTAGAAAGAAATAATGACCATAATAACTTCTTCAGGAGGAAGCATTATAATCTTTGTGTTTTCTTGCATAGTGTTCTGTTTATCAAGCTTCTAAACCTACAGTATACAAAATTAGCTGATTTAAATGGCTCAGTTTCTGCTGTTGCTATAAAAATGCTGTACAATTTCCCCGTTTATATCAGGCCAAACTTCAGAATTCTCAAGCTGCCCCCACTGCTTGACGCTCTTCCTTCTTTGCAGCAGTTTTTGGAGGAAATTTCATTACCTTTACGCGAAATGCTGCCTGCATAACATACACACAAATTTAAATGAATAATGCTACCTCCAATACTTCGTCTAAAGCATATATGGAGGAAGAGTTTTTGCAGCTCACCTTCTTATCAGAACCAAATTCAATAATATCTGATGGATGAAAGCGAGTAGGAAAGTTTGGAGACGCTCGGTATCTTCTGCCTTCGTTACTACAAACACAGGACAATCATTAATTTCTCTTGATATAGTCGGTGTAATAGTACAGTATACTAGTGTAGAACTTACTCCGTAATCCAGGTACCATGTTCACTTCGTAAATCAGTTACAAAAAATGCTCCACCTTTATAGGATATCCGGGCGTGCATTTGGGACACCTGAGATTAGAAAAAGAAAAAAAGATGACCTAAGCATGCATTCACTAGGAGAATGTCCAACGATACTTAGCTATAGACTCATATAAGAGATGAGCACAGATGGCAACCACCTGAGGCAAAGGTATAACTACTGATTTTCCAGCAATGTTTGTATGTGAGACAGACCTGAAACCAGAAGATCATCAGTGACTCTTCTATGAAGCAAATAACAGTAAAGATTCCTCTCTTACAGCAATGTTCGCTTAGATGACATTACTTTCCTGTCTGCTTCGTACTTTTGATATGCAAATGGATCAGATATGTTTATTAGAGGAGATAGATATTTGCAATTGCTGCACCATATGCATGATCTTTTGAACAATTATGAATACCTCAATAGCTTTAAATAACAGGAATCCGAATAAACAAACAGTAATCTATCTCATGTTCTGTAGCTTTATACTCTTGCCTTGAATGCTCATTTTATCCAGTAAAATAACTTAAAACCATCCCCTCAAAGAAGTTGTGTCATTTAAATACTGTAAATCTTTAAAAATAGAGAGCATTTTACTCATTAAATCAAACAATAACAAAGATTACTCTGCGCTAAGACCTAGAAGCATACCCAATAGTGCAAGGCATGTTCTCATCTCTGCTTAAAACAACAGCTTCTAAAGCAGCATTGCCATTCCCGGCAGGAAGCAGTAACCACCTGAAAGATAAAAAGTAAGCACCATATATGACACGTGAAAATGAAAATTGTAAATATTATATTTCTCAAACTCACTCTGCATCAGTAGCACGCTCTAAAGCATCATCATCTACAAACCAATTTCTCAATTGGTCATTTGCCTTCATCACCACAAAACAATATATTATTACTCCCATAAAATTCGGTACATCGACCTTAATTAAGTAACAGTAGAAGCCACAAATCTTTTCTGTGCTCGTGTGCTGAGTGAATAGTTCCTTACACAACTTACTTTCTCAGATAGCCTGCAATGTTGTATTCTGCCTTCAAGCTTTTCACTGCAAGAAAAACAGACGAGTCAACCAAAGAGGACATATCAACTCCCGAGAATTCCAGTAAATTCATCATAGATTCACACGTTGGCACTTGGCTTTATAGTAACTAGTATCTTCAAAGATTTAATGCCAGATGCTGAAAAATCCAATAAATCAGTTGCTAGACATCGCCCTAGCAAATAGAAAATCGTAAACTTCTAATATTTCTTTTAAAAAAAAAAAAAAAATTGGAAAGCTTTAGATGTAACAAAAGAATTTCTAGGATAAGTTTTGACGAAACAGAATCAACAAATAACCACAAACTGAGATAAAAGGCAGGGGCCACACCAAGAGCTGCTATAACGAAAAGCAAAAATAGATGTGGCATTGCGATTTTTACTCTCTAGCTATTGGCTGATCTCACAAGAAAACCAAGATGATGTTTAAGGATATTGACGCAAGATAAGGATTGCATATTCCTACCCGTTGCCTCCTAGAACCCAGCTTAACATAAGCGGCATTCCCAAGTCAATAAAAAATCTTCCACCAACTCTGCCAGGATGTGGTATCCTAAACTTGGTCAAAAACTGCAAAAATAATAGAAAACAATATCTATAAGAAGAGCTCTGCTAAATCAAACGAATTAGCTACTCCAATTTCAAGTTATAGACAGATCTCCATACTGATAATGGACCGAGTCCGACTCCAAGATAAGCCTTGTAAGTTGATGCCATGATTGCAGCCATTCTAGCCAGTCCATGGATAACTCCAACTCGAAGTTTTCTAGAACTTTCATAGCTGGGAACAAGGGAAATCATAAAAAGTCAGATAACTGGCAGAAATAGCAGCTGTTCATGTCAATCCACAATTTTGAGCTCAGACTACAAGAGAATTGCTTCAGAACTAATGATAAGAAGTTCCATATAAAATGTTATGCAAATGTTATGCCTCATCTCCTGCAAGTTGAGGTTAGAACTTCATCCAATTGGTACTGACTTTTTAATTATCGTGAAGTTGCAACCTGTACTCAACCAACGACTATACAGCACTTGAGCCAATATATAATGGTTACCTCCTTAAAGATGAGATGATATCCACCGCGCTTCCTGACTCGGCACTTCGGCTCAATGCTTTATCAAGTTCCAGTGCTAGTTGATAGCTATCCTGTAGTCGTACAAGGAAAAGTTCAGTGGCATATACAACCTTACAATGTGTATTTGACAAAGATGATAGAGAAAGAGCATTAGGTGATCCAGTTTATACTTCATGATACTTACTTACATGGACATATTTAACCCCAATGTTTTTCCAAATATTTAACCCCTATTTAACGACAGGAACAATGTAAAAAAATAGTAGATGGAGAGAAATACGGAAATGTCTTCTCATAACCAAGGGTCTTCTTTTGAAAAAAAAAAAAGGGCAGAAGCCAAAATGTCATCTACCCACTTTCCACCTCCACTAAAAAGCAAAAAAGAAATAAGAATAAAGGTCTAGTTAAATTCCATAACATTCCAGAGATACCCCCATAAACATTGACCAAGTTTGTACTTTTAGGTTCTCCCAACTACAATCTCCCTAAACATGACTCCTAACAATTATGTCCTGCATGATTGTTTTAAGTCCTCACTCAGCCCTGCTTCTTAGCAAGAAGGGACTAAGGGGTATAATCGATCAACAATGGCATTTTAACTGAGTTATTCACAAAGGCTAATATAAAGAGTGTACCTCTATGGCCATGCATCCCCCTTGACCCAAATTAGGCTGCATAGCATGGACAGAGTCCCCGAGCAATGTAACACGACCTTTTCCCCAATTAAAGGTTGGAGGTCTATCATAGATGTCACGTCGAAGAATTGCATCTTCATCTGTGGCAACTAATAGGTCTATAACATTGTCACACCACCCTTCAAATATTTTAAGCAATCTTGCCTTTTTACCTGCAGCATGAACCGCAAAAATATTGTAAAACCAATGTAATAACAAGATGACTATAAATATGACACCTCTTGAGCATCATAGTGGCAATTCAAATATTCATGATAACATACTTATCGCCTGCATCGCTGCTCCCTCCCCCCACCCCAAACAAAAAAAAAGTCTGTGATTCCCGCTTTAATGGTTGCAAGCAAGGGAGGGGCACGAGAGAGGGGGAGAGAGAGGACTAAAGGCAGCCTGGTGCACTAAGCTCCCGCTATGCGCGGGGTCCGGGGAAGGGCCAAACCACAAGGGTCTATTATAGGCAGCCTTACCTGCAGTTCTGCAAGAGGCTGTTTCCACGGCTCGAACCCATTACCTCCTGGTCACATGGAAGCAACTTTACCAGTTGCGCCAATGCTCTACTTCAAGAGAGAAGACTCATTCTTTAAAATATATGGCAAACAACAACAACAACAACAAACCCAGTGAAATCCCACAAGTGGGATCTGGGGAGAGTAGAGTGTACGCAGACCTTACCCCTACCTTGTGACGGTAGAGAGGTTGTTTCTGAAAGATCCTCGGCTCAAGCGAAGTGAAAATGAAGCAATAAATAGATAGTAGCAACAATAAGGCTTTAAAATATATGTCAAAAGATTGAAAATGGATTATTGGAGGACCTAATAGCTAAAGACCTGATGATTCTGCAATAAACTGACATAAATGTCTACACAAATGCTGTGAAAGTATGGATGTTTCTTGAAACCTTATCAATTTTGACTATTTTTTTTACGATACACAATCAGATGCTGTCACTAAATGAATTCTACTTTGAAAACAATCTTTAACTTTCAGCTATAAGTTAACAAACAATTTCTGCAGTGAAGTAAGGACCTCACATTTATGAGTAGATACAACCAATTATGGTTGCATTATTCTCTGAAACTTCTACAGAAATTAAGTAGATAAATTAGAGTGCACCTGCTTACCACAATTTTAGTTTATATATGAATCAGCACTTCAATTCAAAACTTCTCAACGCATAATTCGTCGAATCTATCTCATTCTAATCTACGAGTTCTTCTTTACCTTATTGCCACACTATAATCAGGTCGCAATAAGGAAAACTCCCTTAAGAAACCCCTTGGATGAAATTGAAGTTATGTAACAAGTCAAGCATTCAAAAATGTCTTCTAGTAAATAGTTTAAAGCGGCCTAAGAATATTTACCGTTTGGATCATCCACACCGCCAGCTGGTTCATTGTGAAATGCATACCACTGCATCTTGCCTCCACCCACATCTGAAGAAACAAAGTACTGTTTGTGGCCCAAAAAGACTCGGTACCTTCAGAAAAAAAAAAAAATCTCAATTTAACCTCTACTATCAAAACCTAATGCGAGTGTAACGGGACCAACAGAGATAAGGACTTGAAGAGGGAAAACAAAATCCTAAGTAAAATTTCATACCCAACTGTCTCAATATCAGCAGGAACAAAATCTGCAATTCCAGTGTAACAAGTGTAGCCAGAGTAAGTTACATCACTGGGTCCGAACAAATTAGTCCGTACCTACAATAAAAGGCCAATATTTGAGATCTTCTAAACCAATTAGAATTAACTAACAAAGGTTCACCGCGCAATACAGACTCAGGCCTATTTTTTAACCTGGACCACAACCTCAAAGTAACAATATACACAAGTCACTCTATCCTTGTTAACCGAAGTAGTAACTATAATAGAAGGAAATAGAAGGAGACCGATTTTGAATACCTTAGACCTTATGCCATCAGCACCAACCAGAAGATCACCTGAATATTGCTGTCCATCCTCAAGAGTGACAGTAACCTGATTTCAAACAACACATGAGAAGCTGTATTCAAAATTGAAGAATAAGACAGAACAATTAGGTACAGTTAACACTGATGAAACTCCAAAGAAAGATGTACACGATCGTGAATGAAACTGACAAAAGCTATAATCTTTCTTGATATTTTGAGAATAGAAGAAAACAAAGAGATGAAATCTAATATTACCTTTTCACCATCATCCTCAAAATTCACTACATTACTTTCATTCATAATTATATCCTCCCCAACAGCACGTGCAAGGATCTGCTGCAAAGTCATGCGGCTGATGACTCTTGTCACAGGAAGTCCACGTTCCACTGCTGGAGTAAACGTATCAAACTTGCAATACCTGACACCAATAATGAGACCAATTTATCAATCTGATTGAAGGTAAAAGACAGATCCTTTTCTGTAATAAGTTTGACAAATAAACTTTTGACTAAATCAATTATTTTCCCTCTACTAACTTCAGTTTAATTTCTGAAAGGCTAAATATTACAAAGGATTCATTATTTTCTTGGATTTTCCACAGTAATAGCTTATGTATGATTGTTACTGTGCAAAAAAGACGTGTTAAATAACACCAAGAGTTTCTATTGAGATAAACACTTAGAAGAAAGAAATTAGGGTGATGTGAAATTTACCAGTTACCAGAAACACCATCAACCAAACCATTAATCCTTTGACCAGTGATGCAACCAGCATTCATTATGTCTTCAGCAACATCCATATCAATTGCTTCCAAAGCAGCCAATGCATTGCTCTGTATCTGAATTGGTCCTCTATATTGCCCTTCTCCTCTAATAGCACTTAAATCCCTCTCAAATACCAACACCTCAAATCCCCTTTTCTTTGCAGCCAATGCAAACACTAATCCTCCAATCCCACCACCTGCTACTAGTACTTTCAACTTCTTCTTCAAATTAGTTGTTGGAGTAGTAGCTGGAGCTTCAGCTATTGTGGCTTTTACTGCTCCTTTGACTTTCTTGATTTTACCATTTTCCAAGCTTCTACTGCATGGTAAAGAATTACACAACTCTGCAGGGAAATCCTTAGAGATCAATAAAGGCTGCTGCTTTTTTGAAAAAGCTGAAGTGGATGGATGAACTGAAGTGTAAAACACAGTTGAATACATCTTTACTTGAACCCAAGTTCAAGAAAGAGTGTAGTCTTCTCTAGCAATTTGGTGAAGGAAGAAATGAAGATTATTTATAAAAAATTGTTAATTAGGCCAAAGTGCGTTAGGCTCCTAAGAAAGGAAGTGGAAATGTAATAAGGGGGGAGAAGGGGGGGGGGGGGGGGTTGTTGGGGCAAAGGAGATTGAGAACCAATCGTCCAATCCATTAGGACATGAAGAAGCTGAACCAATGAGGGAGATTCTCTATGGACAGGTGGCATGTCAATGTTGCTTGTTTCGGTTACTAAGCTGAGGAAGATGTTCGACACTTGTTCTACTATTCTATGGTCGGTATTTGTTTACTACCTTTTTTTTTTTCCTTTTCGGTGCTTGACTATGGTTCTTCTGGTTATGCATCTCTTAAAATCAATCTTTAAAATAAAATAAAAAAGAGGAGGAAGAAAATATCTGATAAGTCTCTTTCGTGTGAAACTCTTTTTTTAAGAAGATTCTATGGACTTTTGTACTAATTTATCCTAACACACTCCTAATTCTCCTATCTGTTTTCCTTGAAAATAGTATTAACAATTATATTTTATTTTGTGATTCTAAAAATATGTAATTTATTTCAATATTAGTTGTTAGGCCATAAATGCTAAGTATAAACAAAGAGAATAAGATATGTAAACCAATAATGTCGCAAGATTCGGCCTCGAGCTGGCTGGAACAGGGGGCTTCGAGGTCTAGTTAAGGCAGTTAGCAATAAACAGTTAATGAAGAAACAATCAAATGAAGGCTTCAAAGATAGCCTTTTGCGGTTAATAATGGGCAATAAATGAGAAACAATAAATGAGCAACAAATGAACAAGCAATAAGTCTGTAGAGTAATTGTTGAGCACGTTTAGGCAAGAAAAGCAAAGAATGTTCTGTTGTATTGAATATTCGTCCTCCCTTTACAAAATGACAAGGGTCCCCTTTATATAGGAGGGGGGAATCCCAACATAGTACATGTCTAATAATAACGAGGAAATGCTATTGGTACAACTGTATAATGGCTTAGTATGGATTTGTACTATTCTTGCAGACCTAGTCAGCTCTAACTATGTGTCCTTGGGAGCTTTCCCGCCTTTCCATGACGATCATCGATTTATACTGCTCCGAGATTGACCATAGTGAACCTTCGATATGTTCCCTCGAGGACGCACCTCGGGGTCACACTTCAAATTCTACTTCGAGCTCCTCGAGGTCGGGCGTGGAGTGCCACAGTAGCCCCTAAGTCGAACTCTCCGATTTTGGCCGTATATAGATAGTCCCCGCGTTTCTTAGAATGAAATGATATAAAACGACTTTGACCTCGATTTTCTCGAGCCTCTTGTGATGACATCATGCTCGTGACGTAAGCGTTCGAAGTGAACGAAACGTCCCGTCGGTTCGTTCCCCCAGAAGCATTGAATGCACCGTCGGTCCGTTTCCCCAAAAACATTGAATGTGCCGTCAGTTTCGTCATCATTTCCCTATAAATAAGAGATTACTTGAACCGAAACTTCACTCATTCTTTTAGCCCCTTCCCTTCTCTATATCCTCTTCTAACCTCCTATTTTTATGGTTCGAACCTGTGAACACAAGGTTATACGGCAGAAACTTTGTCAGTTATGCCATGGCTCTTTTTCAAAGCTTTTCCCCACTAAGTGAGATTATACTGAGTTGTTGTTATTGCCCCGAATCAATAAGAGAAGGGCACCAAATTCTTCCTGTGTCGGAAGATATATGGTCTTTATACTGCTGCTCATCTCTCTTAACTTCAACCTGGTGTGGCGCTTCATTCCTTTTGCTTTCCATGGAGTGAGGTGGCACTATCAACTAAGTTTTGCATCCCACACTGGTACAATGTCTCAAGAAGTGGCTTCACTATAGTAGTGCTGGCGAGACCCATACTCGCCAAGTTTTCCACCAGGCCACAATTTTCTTTGCTTGTCAAAAGCATTTTCTCTTTGATAGGCTATAGCCTTTTCTTCATCTATCGCTATTTCCGAGGAGGTTCTCGAAGACGCCGCTCTAAACATCGAAATGGAGTCCCCGAGGAAAAGGTTCTCGAAGATGTTTCTCTTGAGGATATACCCTCGAAAGTAGATTAGGCCTTTGACTGTTGTTTTTTGCTTCTTTCTTTCTATGTAAGGGCCCCTCGTGGGCTTTGTAAACATCTTTTATTAATATAGGAATTTATTCATTTTGCTTTCGATTTGTGTTGAACTCCGTTCTGCCTTCGTTTGTGAAAAATCCAAGTATATGACTCCAACGATTAATCCGAATACTGGACCCAGAACATAATAAGCCCTTAGGTTTTTAATTGATTAATATGATGCTCCTTAAAGTCATTTGTTATTCCTCGGGCTAAGCTTGGATTAATTTGATGCGAACTTAGGTCACCGGGACTTCCGAGTCCGAGTTGAGTGAGAGCTGGGTCTCGATTTTTGAAATTAAGCTAGCCTTTTTAGGCTTCGTTGATAGTCCTCGAGTGAGAATTTTCTCGAACTCAGGTAGCCTTAGACTTAGCAACCGGGTGAGCGTTTGCTCGATCATCTGAAAATAGAGATAGCCCTTAGGCTTTTACAAAAATGTCCCCGAGTGAGAGTTTGCTCGAACTCGGGTAGCCCTTAATTGAGTGAAAATTTGTTTGAACATGAAATAAAGATAGCCCTAAGGCTTTATAGATAGTCCCCGAGTGAGAACTTACTCGAACTCGGGTAGCCCTTGGGCTTAATAGTTGAGTGAGCGTTTGCTCGAACTCGAAATAAAGATAGCCCTGAGGCTTTATTAATAGTCCCCGAGTGAGAACTTGCTCGAACTCGGGTAGCCCTTGGGCTTAATAGTCGAGTGAGTGTTTTCTCGAACTCAAAATAAAGATAGCCCTGAGGCTTATAAATAGTCCCTGAGTGAGAACTTGCTCGAACTCGGGTAGCCCCTGGGCTTAGTAGTCGAGTGAGAGTTTGCTCGAACTCGAAATAAAGATAGCCCTGAGGCTTTATAAATAGTCCCCGAGTGAGAACTTGCTCGAACTCGGGTAGCCCCTGGGCTTAGTAGTCGAGTGAGCGTTTGCTCGAACTCGAAATAAAGATAGCCCTGAGGCTTTATAAATAGTCCTCGAGTGAGAACTTGCTCGAACTCGGGTAGCCCCTGGGCTTAGTAATCGAGTAAGTGTTTACTCGAACCCGACTCGTAGATTGTTCTTAATAATTTCTGACGAACTGATTCCTGATGCCTAGGTCCTGACGTCAACATCATGATAAGTGGTTGAAGTGACTGGAGGATTGCTTTTTGTACGATTCCCAAAACCATTAATTGTAGGCGGCTGACGGTTGGCCTTTGCATTATCGAGGTCTAATTACACTACGACGCCGATCCACCAAGCCCTTTATCGCTAGTGATGACGAGGACAGGGATCGAGGGTGGATGATTCGGTTTGTTCGAGTGAGTACTATTGATATTATTCTTGCGGAGTTCCTGTTGTTTCCCGAGAAATGGAATTTCAAGCGTAAGTGATATACCGAACTCTATTATTTTCGTTCGCGGTGGAGCCAGACTCCGTAAGGACATTTTCTTTCCTTTTTCGTAGTGATCCCGTGGATGCCAAATGAGGTCCCCGATCTTGCGGGCTGGGCCCGCAAACTAGCGGCCTCTTCGACTTATGACAAGTAAAAGTGGCGAGATTTGTTGAAGGGCAAACGGGAGGCTAAGCACCATGGTATGTGCTATGTAGTCCTTCTCAGGAGTACTTTCCTTTACGTACACTAATCTCTTTGTTTTAGGCATCAATGAGTTTTTTGAGGTGAGACCGTCCACTTTCGAGGAGGAGGAACGACCTTCAACTTCTGAGACAAGGAAGGATAATAAAAGAAAGAGATCCTCGAAGGACGAGGATTCCCATAGCAAGGCAGGACCCGCCCAGGGGGCGCAAGGAGGACATTGCCGCTGATGAAGATCTCATATTTATCGATTGTTCTGTGGACATCAATGCACCCGGAGAGGATAATCTACATTGATGGCTCGAACCAAGAGGCCTCCCGAGACTGTTGAGCCCGCTGGACTCGAGGCCCCTAGTCTCGAGGGAGAGATTCCACAAGAGAGGAGGGGCGAAGGTCCTTCATTACCTGATTTGGCAGTTGGTCCTCGGACGTCGAGAAGTACTCCGAGGGAAATGGTCTTCGACATATCTACGCCCAATCAGAGCGCCTCGGGTTGCTCTACTTGGGCTGATGAGACCGAGCCGATAGATGCGAGATCGACCCTCGAGGAAGCTCAGGACTCTGCTCTATGGTGAGTTTTGAAGTCATTATTGCTTTTTTAACTTCGTACTTTCTTCTTTTTAACTGAACCTTCTTTCTCATAGGCCTTCGATAAGCTCAAGTCTGAGCTGCTTCGCTGTGAGGCTATGTTGCGTAAAGCCTTGAATGGGGAGAAATCTCTCAGGCTTTTTTGTGATAAGAAGACAAGAGAGCTGATACTTCTTCAATCGGAGTTGAACCGAAGTTATGATTACGAAGCAGGTAACCTCTATTTTGAGGGAATACAAGCTTCGTCTCCCATCTTTGGAAACTAACGTTTCGGTATCTCAATTGCAGAGAAAGACAGAGACGCTGGAACGCCTTCGGGGCGAAGCCAACTAGGTTAATTCTGAATGCAACGAATTGAAGGCACAAATAGATGCTCATTTTGCGGCCAAAAGGAACGCTTTGGCTAAGGCCTCCGCCCTCAAAATACAACTTCTTAATGCTCGAGAAAGCAACTTGGTCCAGACAAACAGGATTGCTAAGCTTGAAACAGATCTTATAAAGATGAAGGCCGAAGTTGTGGACGCTCGAGCCGAAGCCGAAAAGGTCCGAGCAAAGGCCGATAAAAAGGTGGCCATCTATCTGAAAGATGTTGTTGAAGCTCGTACGAAGTTGAGGGGGGCTTCTGATCGAGAGAGGAGAATCAATGAATATGTTCGATGCAGATCCCAGAGGGAAACTCTCGAGGAGATTCATGGTAAGGGCTTTGATCTCTTGGAGGAGATAGAGCAGGCCAAGACGGATGAGTTCGACGCCAAGTTCCTCGTTTCCGATGCTGAAGACAACGAGGAAGAGGTCGGTGAGGGAGCTGGTCCCGAGGGAGCCGA